AGTTTCTGTTACTAGGTAAGTTCGATTCCTAGTTCTACCACAACCTAGCTGTGTAATTATAGGCCCGTTACTTAACTTGTCTCTGTCTTAGTTACTTCCGTTAACAGCGATCATAATAGAACCGAACTCATAGGGTTATTATGATGACCTAAGTGTGTGTAAAATAGCAAAACCCTTTTAATAGCAGCATATAAAGCTATATACATGTGAAGGGATTTCAAAATGTGAAAAGAAGGGAATTAAAGTACAGGTTTATTTTAGGGCAAAAATTCTGAAATCCACTCATTGTTTTTTTCTAATGCAAACTTTCCACAAACTTTTTGAAGACCCAGTGTATTTGCTTATATTTTTAAGTCAAGTTTATTGAGTTTAATATGGGATATAACTTAAAAGACAATAAAATTCACCTGTTAAAATAAGCGGCTCTATGAGTTTAGTCAAGTCTGTACGGATATGTGATCACCACTGCAGTCATCCTACAGACATTTCTGTCATCTTCATCTAATTCCCTCATGCCTTTTGTAGTCTAGTCTTTTTCTACTAATCTCTGATGTTTTTTTTTTTTTAAACAAAAACAAAAACAAAAATAAAACAATTTCATACAATGGAAATGATCAGAATCATGTAGACTGTAGACCTCGAGTCTGGCTTATTTCACTTAGCACAGGGTTTGGTAGCCTTTTCTGTAAGGGGGCAGATAGTAAATGTCTTAGACTTACAGATCATACAGTCTCTGTTACATCTACTCAACTCTGCTATTGCAGACAAGGACAATTTATAAAACATTAAGTGTGACTGTGTTCCAGTAAAACTGTTTTATGAAAATGGGTGACAGCCATGTTTATAAGGTCTGCTGAAGACCGTAATTTCCCTACCCTTGATTTAGCCTAATGCATTTGAAATGTGTTCATGTCGTTGTATAGATAATTTGTTCTTTTTTTTAATTGTTATTTATTATACCATCACAAAGATATAACCACAGTTTGCTTAGACATACACCAGGTGAAGGATATTTGAGCTTTTTCCAGTTTGGGGCAAATATCAATAAAGTTATAATAAACATTTGCTTGTAGGTTTTTGTGTGAAGTCAGGTTTTCATTTCTTTTAGTTATTATCTAGGAGGGGAATTGCTGGGTTGTATAGTAAGTGTATGTTTATCTTTGTAGACATTTCCAAACTGTTTTCCAAAACTGTTGCATCATTTTGCATTTCTACCAGCAATACGTAAGAGTTTCAACTCTGTTGCATCCCCACCAACGCTTGGTATGTGCTCTCTTTACTTTAGCCATTGTAAAAGGCCATGAAGAGTCTTACAAACCAGAGTAAAGATGTTTACCTTCGACCTAAATTAAGGTGAAAGTTTTTGAAGGGTTTTACACATGGAAATGACATTATTTGGGTTTTAAAATTATTACTCCAGCTGCAGTTTGGAGAATGATTTGGAAGAAGGCAGTGTAAATATGTGAAGACCTTTGGAAGGATATAACATTAATGTAGGAGAAAAGGATGATACCTTAATAGGTGGCAGTGAAGATAAAGGTTGTGACTCAATGTGAGATTTTTTTCTTTTTCTTTTTTTAAGGAGGGAGATTGATAGGATGCAGTGATTGATCAGATATGGTATATAAGAGAGTGGGAACTGTCAGGATGCCTTTGAAATTCCTGGCACAAGCAACTAGATAGATCATGGCACCCTTACTGACATGAGGCACACTGACAAGAAAAGGTTTGGGGAGATCAAGTCATCAGTTCAATTGGGAGATATGTGTGATACATTCTAAAGGAGATGCCAAGGAGGCAGTTCAGTATCTGAGTTCTTAAATGAGGAAACTAAATTAGAAGTTATCATGGTATAAAGGATATTTGACATTATCCGGTAGATAGATTTTTTCAGAGACAGAGTTCTTAGAGATCTGAGGAGAAGCACTAGGACAGTAAAAGGGGAACCACGATGTTAAATACTGGGCAGTACAGGGGCACCAGGGCACACTCTGAGAAAGTGGTTCTGAGATACTCAAGCCCAACAGATTCAGTAGCATGACGATGATTAGTGATTTTGGTGGTGATGATGTGTATGTGAAAACCTGGAATGGGTTGAGGAAAGAGAAAAGAGTAAGGCAGTAAAAGCAAGTGTCTACAGGTCTTTCAGGAATTTTTTGGGTGATTCTTAGAAATATTGATAAGAGGTGTCTTTTATGGTTGAGATGAGACAGATTAGAGCATGCTGGTGAGAAGGATGAGGCAAGGGAGGAAGATGGGGAAACAGTGTAGCCAGTGTAATCTCTCTCTCTCTCTCTCACACACACACACACACACACACACACACACACACACACACACCTACCACAGGTGATGCCAATCAGGTCTTGCCTTCTTGGTGAAGAAGAAACTTAAGCAGTTGAGTTTAATATTCATCGTCAGAGTAGGAGGCTTTTAGTATTATCGAGTTCTAATGAACTATATCATAATGTGGTCTTTAAACTTATTTCTCCAAGTATTTCTAGAAAACTTACCAAGCAGAAAATGTCAGCAATTCTTTTGATGTGTGAAAACGCTCTGGCAGTTTAGTCACTTGTCAGTCTCTTGCCCAAGTCCTACCCATCTGTCATGGCGCAGTTGAAACCCTCAAATGGAAGGCTCTCCCTCCCTCATCTGAATGGTCATAGCCTGGTGGTTTTTTCCTCTATTTTGGCATTTGATCTTTCTACATATTTGTTACGTATGTATATACTTTATGTGTATGTGTATGTGTACAAATGTATGTACTTTTTCCTTCTCTTTAGATGATGAAAGGCAAGACTCTGAGAGCTATTATAGCACCTAGCAGTTCCATCTTGCTTGTTATCATAAATGTATGTAAAGATGAACACGAGGAAGTGGCTATTAGCAGATAATTAGAAGACACATGAAGAATAAGATTTTTGTCTTGGAATCTGAATTAATAGCCTAAAATACCATGTTACCTGCTTTTAACCTTTTATATCACTTAGTAAAATATGTATTGACGATTTCTTATTATGTGCTACTAAGGTATCAAATGATCGAATAATAATCATAACAGCAACAACAACTTTTTGGTGGTAGTTTGTAGTTTTCCAACAACTTTCGTGTCCATACAGACTGAGGATATAATCAAGAGGTCCAGGGGGAAAACTACCACGGGGATTTTATCTTCATTTTATAAATGAACAAACTAAGGCCCCCAGACATACTGTGTCAAAAGTCACATTGCTGGTGAATGAGGGTGATAAGGCTCAAAGTGGGACGCTCTAACCCTAATCCAGGGTTCTTTCAGTATATCCTATGCCTTCGGGATTTATTTTCATAGAAATCCAATTGGTCTGATAATAATTGGTCTGATAATTTCCATGTCTTCTGAAGCACTTTCACAGTTTTTAAGCATAGGCATTGTACAATTTTAAAACCAAGTGTAATGGCTAATTTGATTTATTTAAATGAATGAAAAAATCACTTATCTTGGGTAATCAGAGCAATCTCTTGGTAAGGTCTGTGATCGTGTTTAACAGGCTCTTACCTGGTGACTCAGAGTTTTTTGCATTGCTTCTGTAGCAGGTTGAGGAAAACACCATTAGGAAATATGCTGGTGTTGTGATTTAAAGAAAAGAAAAAGAACTCACGTATCTATGGACTATTAATATCGAGCAACATCGGTCAGCAGTGTTAGGTGTAGTGATTGCATCTGATATTAGCATTTTGGGGGAACATTTTCTATTCCTGGATTTTTAACTCTGACTTCTGGCATCTACTTTTTTTTTTTTTTTTTTAAAGACCAGTGCCAAGCCAGCTGGCAATGCAGTGGTTAGGGTGGCTGGATCCCACATGACTGTGTGGTTTGAGTCTCAGACCCACAGTCTGAGGAGAGTTTGCTTGTGTGTTGCCTGTGCGTGCATGCCAAAAGTCCTAAGAAGATTGGGGCACGACCATCCCACCTGGGGGGTGCTCTTGTACTTTCTCTCTCTCTCTCTATTTTCTCAGCAAGCACGTGTGCACTATAGCAAAGTCAAAAAATAAAAACATTTAGTCCCATTTTTGGCATAGAATGATAAATTACATTCTAATGCAAGAACTAGCACAGGGGAGGTCATTTTCCTCCACAGGGACTAAACCTGGCTTTAATTGTAGTATTGTTAATGTTTTTAAAAATTGAAATAATATACTTTATGTAAAATCTACAATTTTACATTAAGGTATTTAATGAGGAAGGCTTGGACTAAACATCTTTGGAATGTATTATTTTTATTGAACATAGCTGGCTATTTAAACAAGATAGTAGTTTGTATTAAAAATTGTTTTTGATTATAATGAATTATATATAGACCTCAAATTCTAGAATATATTTTTTTCAGGAGAATTGAGGCATGAAGAACATATTCTTCTTAAGAAATCGCAGAAATAGGGCCAGCAGGTGGCATGGTGGTTAAAGGCGCTGGACTCCCACATGGCCGACTACAGTTTGAGTCCCGGACCTGGCAGCTTGCTTTCTCACTTTCTCTTTCTCTCTCTCTGTCCCTCTCTAGTTAGATTAAAATAAATGAGTAAATAAATAAGTAAAGTTAAGTAAAATAATTCTGAAAAGAAAAATTGCAGAAAGACTTAAAGTGTTCCCTCCCGTCATCATTTAAAAATATTTTCTGAATGAATTATTGCTACTAGATTAAACCTTTTTTGTGTTCCCCTATGAATTGTGTTAGAGAAGGTATTTGGGAATTGTTGCACAGTGTCAGAAATAAGTGAACTTGACTGTATATGAAACCAAACAAGCAGTTGAGATATTGAATCTGAAACCAGGTATATTCTATGGCTAACTAGTTGTGATTAGTGAGCATAAATACACCAAGAATTTTAAGGACATTTCACCCCACAGCACTTGGTTCAAGAGCTCTGTATCTCTAATACAAACTTCTTTCAGTATACTGTAAAACGTGTTCAATTGGCATTCTAGATGAACAACTGAAATGGTTTGTCTGCCCTTACCTCAGGTGAACCTGGCCTATGTTGAAGCTGCAGAGTGCCTTTCAGAACCTGTGAACAGGGAGCCTCCTTCCAGAGAAGCTCAGCTACTGACTTTACAAAACACGTCTGAATTTGATGTCCTTGTTATCGGAGGAGGAGCAACGGGAAGTGGCTGTGCACTAGACGCTGTCACCAGAGGTAAGTACTGATGTGGATGGATGGAACAAAGGAAGATACTGGTTTTATCCTCCGCCCCCAATATACATATGTATGCTAGCACCCTGTGCTAGTGAAGTCACATTTTTGTTTGCGTCTCCTAATTTTCCGTGCTTAGTGAAGCACCTCACACTTTTTCATATATGCATTGTACACTTCCAAAAACAAAATATCTAAATATCTAAATATCTAAATAATTATTTACTTCACTGACCTATTTTTTTTTTTTAAACCTTTATAGCCTTTCAAATTGATTTGATGTTCTGGGAAGTATTTTTCTAGTACTTAGACAAGTAAATACATTTATATGAAATAAAAATATTTGTCTTTCATCTGAAATCACATTTATGTCAGTCAAGGGTGGGAGAAAAGATTTATTACAATGAAATAATTGATTGAAATACTTCTTTTTGTTCACGTATCTCATAATAATCTTTCCCAGTGAAAAAGGGACTGAAGTTTGGGAAATCTGGCTTATGCAGCTAGATAGCAGAAAAGTCTGTTGCTAACTTAGAAGTTTGTGTCAGTAACCTGTCTACTACTGGCCAGTATTAGAAAAGAGATGATGCAAATTTTGTTAAAAATGGGAACATGGAAGTGACATAGTGGTAATACAGTACTCTGTGGGCTCTCCTACATGTGAGGGTTCTGGATTCATGCCGTGAGGCCTTAGTACACGGAGCATTTGCAGGCCTGTGATTTGGGGCAGGCTGAAGCTGGGGGTAGATGGCTGTGCAAAGACTGTGTTGGGAGTGCCTATCTCTGTCTCTGTCTCTGCCTCCCTTGCTCATGGAAGAAACAAATAAACTTTTTAATACAGGGAAACATGATGTATAAAGAAAGTAAGTTTAGTATGGAATACCAGTGCTGTTACATAACAAGTATTTAAGAAAATAATTTGTTTCATTTTTGATCGTGGGTATTAGTGCAGTGTTTGGAATCAAGGAAATCTTGGTTCAAGTTCTGGTTTAACTTTTTACAAGGGGTGTGTGTGTGTGTGTGTGCATGTGCACACATGTGTGCTTGTGTGTATTTGGGCAAATTGCTTAATTCCTCTGGGGTTCTTCATTTTTCAGATGAGGTTAACAAATATCCTCTTTAAATGATAGTTGTGAAATCCAAACTTGGCAATCATGAAGAGGCTTGGAACAGTTCTTGGCACACACAGGAGAAGCTCATAAAGTGTAGGTAGCATTATAGCCACTATTATTAACATGAAAATAAAAGACTTCTAAAAACAGTTATCCTGGAGCAATAGCAATTTGTTATAACATCCTCAGATGTATCTAATTGGGCTAGTACTGCTTCAAGGAATTTTGACTCTTGATTACTTTAGTTTCTACTTAAAGTGCAATATTTATTACAATTGCATACCCAGTGGTAATCATTTATGATATGGAATAAGCCTTCGTGGATCCATTAAGTCACTATCTTGTGTGGAAATGCAATGAATTGTACAAAATTTAAGTACAAATGTTTGGTGCCCTGTATTCCTATGATTTCACAGGAACCACACTTAGGTTTTGGTCCATGAAGGCATCACCACCTAAATCCTTTTTTTTTTGTCAAGTGTAAATAATGGTAAGTTCAAAATATAGGCACCAGAAACTACTCTGTTTTCAAGTTGAGCCCAACTTTCATTTAATTTCCTGTCTTCAACCATGGAGTGTAATTTGAGCCAGGTTTTTCTTGGACATATAAAACAGATGGGAAGAACATTTATCATTTTCTCAAGGTCATTTGCTTTCCTGGAGACCTGGGAAGGAGGGCAGAGAGAAGGGACACATGGCCAACGTACCGGGAAGATTCACTTGGAACTATCTTTCCTAGGACTTTACTAGGTAACAGTTATCTATATTGAAGAGGATCACCTCTCTTGTAGGATTCAGTATTATCTCCAATTATTTCATGTATGTACTGAAATATATAGTCATTCTTTTTATTTTAATTCAAATATCCACTGAGTACTTACTGTATGCATGGCAATATGCAAGGTGCTATATGAGAATACCGAGGTGATTGATGTGGATCATACCTTTGGGGTGCTCACAATTCTGTAGTGCTTGTTTGTACAGATCAAATTATGTCATAGAGAATATGTGCCTTTTGAAAGGCAGAGGGATGGGAACAGCAGATGGCCTGATGGTTATGTCACTGGACTCCCACGTAGTAAACCATGGTTAGAATCCTGGACCGGCGACTTAAAACTCATGCTGGGTGTGTGTGTGCATGTGTTCCAAGATTCTAAGAGACGAATAGGGAGAAGGAATTGCAGTGTGGCAATCCCTCCTGGGGAGTGATTTATCACTTTTGATCTCTCTGTTTCTTCGGCGAGTGCACCCTATAGCAAAAATCTCTCCAAAAAGAACTAAAGAAAGGCAGGGGGGATATTATGAATGTATCAAGAAGAGGCTAGTTGCATCTACACAGAATGGTCAGGAATAGGAAAGCTGCTCTTTGGCATAGGTACAATTTTAATAGGCAAACATTGCTTGTTCACAGTGTTCCAACCTGAGGGAACATGCAGGAGGAACAGCATGGCATCAGCGTATGTGGGAGACAGCATCTGTTTCCATGTTTCAGTTTGGAGCATCCAGGTCATATAACAGACTACGAGAGGAGAGCAGAAAGGCAAGACTAGGTCTGGTTTGTTGGGAGAAGGCCTTTGGATTTTCCTAATTGGCCTCTTTGAGATGCTGAAGTGTGTTAGGTTTGATGATAAGGCCTGAACGACCACATGGAAGGAACAGGCGGGGCAACCGCCTTCAAGAGGTCTACAGAGGGATAAAGCAGAAGGGAGGTGACTTGATCCTACAATAGGAAACAAAGAGAATGTATCCAAGGGACCCCCCCCCCCCCCTTTTTTTTTCCTTTTTTTTTTTTTAAAGATAGG